GGTCACCTCCCTGTGTGTCGTCCCCAGACCTCTCTGTCCATGTCTGCTGTCTGTCTCTCTCTCTCTCTGGACACCTCCCTGTGTGTCGTCCCCAGGCCTCTCTGTCCATGTCTGCTGTCTCTCTCTCTCTGGACACCTCTCTGTGTCGTCCCCAGGCCTCTCTGCCCATGCCCACGTGGAGCTGCCCTGCCACTCCAAGTTCCTGCTGATCGCGGCGTACCTGGCCTCCTACAACCCCGCCCGCACCGACCGCCGCTTCTTCCTCAAGGTACGCTCAGGTGTGCGGCAGAACCCTCACCTTCCTCACCTTGTGGCGAGCGGCTCGGGCCCATCACTCTCGCCCTGGGCTCATCGGCATGGCTGCTGGGAGAGCTGTGCTTATCGGTCTATTGCTCTCACGGCCAGCGTCCTGCTCTGCACTGCAAACTCCTGCAGACCACTGGAATCTCAAGCTGTGGTGACACACAAGCTTCCTGTATTTAAACACAACCTGCTTGAAAACATGGCCGAAAAGCACAGGGGACGGGTATTGAGTTTCAAGTGCACTCGCCTTCGGCGCAATGTTTTTTTTTCTTAAAATACAAAGACTTTGCTTTTCTTCCGGAATGGGATTTTTCCGTTATCAGCTCAGGATTTGGATCGCTAGACCAGTTGACCGAGGCTGCGTGTCGAGTCTGAGGGATTTCCTCAGAATAAATAGCGAAACACATACCAGAGGGCGTCAGTGCAGGCTGCGTGGAAGTGCATTTAACCTGCATTCAGGAGGTGCTTCTTTACCCAAAGGGTGGTGGAAGTGTGGAACAAGCAAGCCCAGCCACGTTGTTGCAGCTGATACCCTGGCTGCTTTCAAGAAACAGCTGGATGGGGTTCTGGGATCTGTTCACGAACTACCAGTCAGGGTCGATGGGCTGGATGGCTCCCCTCGTTTGTGGCCTTGTGTTCCTAAAAACAGCAGTAACACTACCAGTGCTTCTCTTCTGCTTCCTCCACTCCAGCACCATGGGAGAATAAAGAAGACCAACTTCCTGAAGAAGCACGAGAAGGTGAGGGTGGATGCAGGGGGCAGCAGACCCAGTCTCTCTCTCTTTCTCT